CAGCTCGCTGAGTAGGCGGGCGCGGGCAGGGCGGTCTCAGTCGGCCGCCGCCCCTGCAGCAGCCGGTGCTCGGGGAAGCGAATGCTCCTCTGAACGACTTCGTGCAGGGGCCAAACGTGGCCGGATCCGGCCCACGGAGCCTCCGCGGGACCGGCCGGCCTGCACCGCGCGGCGCCCGCAGGCCCGAGACCAGCCCGGAGCGGAGGAGGCCGAAGTCGCTCCTTATTCCCGGTTCCTTTTTCACAGCGAGTCTTCACACAGCGCAAGGTTGTCAGTAGTGCAAGACAAGACCCGGAGGTAGAAGCTCCTGGGAAAATGTAGATTTACTAACATAAGGGTTTTATGCTCAGACTTACTCAGATGTGTTTCCCCAGCCGTGGAGACTTGTGTGGTTTGGTTTGCCCCATAACCCTGGTCTAATCTCAGCTCTTTATTCACGGCTCTGTACTCGATACATGATACTATTTTACATTTTTTACTTATGACATTCTAACTTTATCTTGTCTTGTTCATCGCTGACAGTGTTTAGTCGTGTAAAGATTGGCTTTGAAAAAGGAACCAGGAATAAGGACCTAACTTCAGCCTCACCTGGAGCAGGCCCTGCGTGTGGGCTCAGCCTGGTCCCCCATGGGTCAGCTCAGACCAAGGTGCAGCCCCCAGGGGCCTGATGGTGGGGCCCCATGGGCCAGATCTTTGATGCCCTTGAATTAGCTTATATGTTGCAACTCTGCCTTGAGAGCAAGACAACCACAAATGCCTCAGGCTGGAGCCTGTAAAATCTAGATACAAAGGCCACATACACATAAAAAATCACTTGGGCTCAAAGGCCTCACTTCCTACATCCCTGGTAGGATGACAGAGCAAGTGTAGCTGGCTTCTGCAGCAATCTTCCACAGCTCTTTTCTGTTCAGTTACATTTCCCACAACATGACTCATTCCTCCATTATTTAACATTCATTCCAGCCTGTACTTCACAGATTAAAAACAAACCACCTCCAAAGTACAGTTAGCGTTGGCAGCTGAGGTAGACTGTCAAGAGTCTAACAGCCAAGATCACTGCATGCTCCTCTGGGGGAAGACGAATTAATAATTAGCTGCACAGAATGAATCGGAGAATTAAAACCTCACTTGCAAATGTTGTCTGCTCCATTTCTCATCCCTTCCTTCCCTCTCCTAATATCCAGGCTCGTGCTAAATCTCCTTTCTCACATTAAGAGGTGTCTTTTCCTCTGACTCCCTGCCAAAATCTTGGTCCTCTCTTGTTACATCATGTCTAGATAACTGTGTCCTATCCACTCATTTCTCCTCTTCAATTTATCCCAAATCTCAATCTTGCTTTCTTCCCTTCCTGGGAGTGTCACCCCTTGAATCCCTGTATCTGGTCCTTCTATGCTATTTGTCAAGCTGAAACTCCTCATGTCTACCTTTACGATTCTACACAAATCTAGATTCTGCCCACATTTCTGTCTCTGGCCTCTGTAGGATAAACAAGAGTCCTTACACAGGACTGGGGCAGACAGTGTTACTGACCAACTAGCTGTATTCCTGGTTTCTCGCTCCCCTTTGTCAGCTTAAATTACTTTTGTCACTTCATTTATCCTTCTCTTTGATTTCATACTTTCCTGCCCCTACCCCATGCTGCTCCCTACTTCGCAAACAGGCTCGTGTTCATAAGAACATGATTATGTTCTTATTTCCTCCCACATACCAGGCACATTCACCATTGTCCATCATCAGACAATGCCTTGATTTTCACCATATATTTCTACTCCTAGCTTTCTAGTCTTCCCCTTATTCTACCTCAATCTCTACTGAAAACTACCAGAACTTGTGTGATTCACTTGCTGTACAATAATGACAGACATTTTTGCAGCAACTCACATTTCTCTACTCTGTTCTCTGACTTCATGGTTGTCTAAAAGTAAATGGAAAATTCCATGTAGCAGAATTATGGTGCTATATTTGTGTTTATTAATCAAAAGGGCAGGAAGCTGAATTTCCAGCAGCGTCAGTCACTTGCATCTGTTCTAAATTGCAGAGTTCACTGCAGCTTGACTGGCTTGCTATATCTCACAGCTTCTGACACAATAAGCATCTCGGATTAGTGTTGGTTTGTGTCTTTTTTGGTCATTCCATTATCATTTTCTAATGACTTAACTTTACTACTGGTATAGGCCTTTGTTTTGATAATGCTGGTACCTAACACAGGACTCCTGATAACTGTGATGAACTGTTTTAAAAATTAAACAAAAATAACTGGCAAAAGTCACTTTGGGAATGTACAAATCCATTCTAAATGGTGAGAAATCATCACCATTTCCTTGCACAGATTAAGCTAATCAATACGAAGACATAAAATAATGTTATTTGTAAACAGACACCCCAAACTCTAGGTTGTATAACACAAATGCCGGCCAATATAAATAAAGGTTACAATTAACCCAAAATAGTCCAGTTTCTAAGTGAGGACCTTTCATATGTGAGGCCTCTATGATAAATGGCACAATGCAGAATGGGAGTGGAGCAGCTCTCTAGCCACTAGTACAAGGATGCTAGATTGTCTGATGTGAAGGTAGCAAGATGAGTGACAAATTGGGCTAACCAAGGAAGTAACTTTTAAGAAGAGATGGAAGGGAAAGATAATGCCTGGAACTTAAAAAAATCAAACTCTTTGGGGGAAAGTTTTCTGGGTTTTGCAGACGTGAAAATTCACTAAGCTGAATTTTAGATGGAAGTGGATTCCCACCTCAGGAGGCTCCAAAAAGAAAAGCACAGCCATGTGCTGACTGAAAACCTAACAGCGATGGGGCAAGGAGCATGTAAGAAGAGAACTCCATCAGGGAACAACTTAAAGTTTTACCAGTAAGTTAGCAAAGTTTCTGAATTTGAAAATATTCAATTTATTAAGAGATATAATTGAGCCAAGACTGATGGTCACTCATCCTGTGACTGAATAGGAGAGGGCATGGGTCAGAGAAGTTTGCATGCTCAGAATGATGGGTTCCCAAAGCCAACGATTTGCTGTACCTCATGGATTTCCTGCAGCAGATCCTCCTTCTTCAGCTCTAACTGTATGGAAAAGATGATCAAAACAGGATCATATCAGTATACCTGAAAGCACTTAAAATGCATCTTTCTAGAATATTTGGAGCCATAGTGATGGATTCAACCAACTAATATCACCTAGTGATTGTAGAAGGAAACAGAAATAGCTTTCTGTCATTGTGCCAAAAACTGCCCTATTGCCCGTGTCAGAAATGGTATCGCATGTCAGCAAAATGACAACAGCTGACAGCCGGAGCCTCAGAAATGTCAGCTTTAATTAAATACCTTATTTCCAAAGATAATTCACACCTTAAAAAAGGGCAAGTGCTTCTTT